CTTCAGTGCAGTATCTGGTAACAGTAGGAGATCAACTGCACTTCCTTTTACAATAGCCTTTTTCTGTAGAGATAGTACAGGGGATAAGGAACTAGCATTGCACGTGGCCAACCCAGGTTCAATCCTCAGCACCATATGAAGTCCCCTGAAAACTGCCTAGAGTGATCCATGAACACAGAGCCATGAGTAATCCCTAACAAAAATTACCAGGGACCAGAAAGATGGTACAGGAGATAAAGGTACTTGACTTGCATGTAGCTGACACTGGTTTGAATCTTTGCATCACATATAGGTCTCAGATCTCAGCCAGAGCCAGGAGTAAGCCCTAAACCCTGCTGGGTATGACCCCCAAACAGCCCCCACGCACCCACATGAAAAAAAAAACTTTGTATTAGGTGATTTTGGCTCACTGCAGTCAAACCTAAGTATTCTGAGCACATGAAAGGCAGGCTCAGCTAGGCTGTGTTGTTTGGTAGGCTAAGTGTATTACTGCATTTTGATTTAGGATATTTCCAAATCATGATGGTGGTTTTTTTTTTTTAAAGGCAAACACTCTACCACTGTGCTATCGCTCCAGCCCAAAACTGACTTTAAAAAAGTCTTTTTTTGCCATTCAGTAAGTCCACCTCACTGTATCACTGTATCACTGTCATCCTGTTGTTCAATCATGATGGTTTTGTCATGAGATGACTTCATAATAAGTGCATGGAGAAGGATCAAAATTGAGTTATGTTTTCTGACATTAATAATATTAATGGATGTGAATTTGGTACTGTATAATAACACAAGTAATTTGGAAGACTTATATAACTCAGTGACTGAAAATGATCTAAATCATCAATGAAAGGCTTTATGAAATCATACTTGGATTAAGTATTTATTCAAAATGAAAGATAGACTATGGGCTTTAATGTAACAGGGTTAAAAAACAGTCATTAATTTGACTCAGAATTTAGACTGCAGCTAAGTTTTAGAAGTCTAAGAAATACAGAGCTGGAGTGATAGTACAGGAGGTCAGATGTTTATCGTGCATAAGACTGACCTGGGTTCTATCCCTGGAAACCCATATGGCCCTCCGAGACCACCAGAAGTGATCCCTGAGTGCAGAGCCAGGAGTATGCCCAGGCATGACTGAAACACTTAGAGAAAAAAAAAGCAGTCTAAGTATCCTCAGTTATCTATTGGTATATTTAAACATGCTTCCTTGACCAGCCATGTACCTAATTGGACTTTTTTCATAGATGTCAACTAACAGAGGCATTATTTAATAAATCCCTTCAATTGATGGACTGTAGATGTAGATGTGACAATCCAGCCAGATATTCGCAAGAAATTCACAAAATTTCTTGTCACTCTTCTTGTTCTTTTGATATGTTTTAAAAATATGTAAACATGTACTGGGTTTATTATTGTCAATTTGAAGTTACCAAATCTTAATAAATATTTTTAAGTGTCCCAGTCTTGGTTTCTTTGCCCCCCTTCCCTTGTCTTTGATACTGTGATGATTGGGGCTCACATGCTCACATGGTCGTTGTGTTGGCTGGGGGGGGGGGCAGTTACATGCTCACACACACGCTCGTGGGATGGGAGTCAGGGTCACACTCTTGAGTTGTGGTGCTCCTACACAGTCTGTGTTACCGTGCTCACATCAGGCTTCTCACTTCCTGGCCTCTCACTTGAACATGCTTGTCGCAGTGATGTTTGACAGGGGTCGTGACTGTCGCATGCAGCCTCAGGGGTCTCTCACGGCAGACTTGCAGGGATGATGCCAGGCATGTGAGGGGCTCCAATTCCCAGCCTCACATTTGCAAGGCAGGTACTTATTTTGTTTGTTTTTGCACCATACCTGGAGATGCTGGAACGATAGCACAGCAAGTAGGGCATCTGCATTGCATGTGGCCGACCCTGGTTTGATTCCTCCATCCCTCTCGGAGAGCCCAGCAAGCTACCGAGAGTATCCCGCCTACATGGCAGGGCCTGGCAAGCTACTTGTGATATATTCAATATGCCAAAAGCAGTAACAACAAGTCTCACAATGGAGACGTTAATGGTGTCCGCTCGAGCAAGTCTATGAACAATGGGAGGACAGTGCTATAGTGCAGTGCTACCTGGCGATGCTCAGAGATTACTTCTGGCTTTGTGCTCAGGTATCATTTCTGCCAGTGCTTGGGAAACCATATGTGGTGCTGGGAACTGAACCAAATTGGCCAGCACGTCAAGGTGCTCTTGGTGCTCTCTCTCCAGCCAAGGGCCTTTAGCCTTTGAGACCCGCCCAGCTCGCACAGTCTTTATTCCAAATGCAGTGAAAGCCAAGAGGTGGAAGTTTCATCTGGGGTCTTCTTATTTAGGGGCTCGTTTTGGGGTCTCAGAAAAGTTGAGACCTGCTACCTTAAAGTCCCCCAGAAACTCAGTTTTCTGGTGGTCTGTTTCATGCCAGAGCCTGTGTTCCTTCCTATTGCGGTGCTTTCAGCAGGCCTTAGGAGTGGTTGGTGGCACCAGTTTCCCCACTTGAGAGGATAACCCCCATTTCTGAGGGGGCTCACCTCGGCCAGGCAGCCTTTGTGAGCAACTGCCTTGGGCTACAGCAGGCCTGCATTCTCTCCTCAGATGATCCTTCATCGCTCTCCTTTGCCCTTTCTTTCTTTCTGCCAGTCCTCCCACTGACAGCCTTGTCTGTGTCCTGGCTGCTGGCACTGATGACTCTTGGTCTTTCTCTTCTTCAAGCTTAAAATGGCCCCTGTCCCATTCACCCAGGAGTTGTGGCATAGGGGAACATGGACAAGTGCTACAACGTTCAGCTTGGGAGGAGCACTCATCATCTAGGGAGATGTTTCCAGAAGCTTGGGGGGCTTTCAAGTCCAGGTGGGACACTCAAACTGAGACCAGAGGCCTCTCGAAGAAGCTGTGCATTGGTGGTGTTGAACTCAGACACCTCGAAGGTTCATCCCGAATATGTTTTGTGCCTGGTGGAATTTTTTGTTTTATTTTTTTATTATTATTATTTTTTTTGCGCCACACCTAGCAATGCTTAGAGGTTTCTCCTGGCTCTCCACTCAGGAATTACTCCTGGCGGTACTTGGGGGATTATATAGGGTGCTAGGGATTGAACCGGCACCCTATATAGTCATGTACAAGGCCAGCACCTTATTGCTATACTCATGCTCCAGCTTCCATTCGGGTGGAATGTTTAATTTTCCACTGAGCATGGGGCTTTTGTGAAGCTGCTGGGAATGTCAGGTCCCTCTGTTATCACCCACCCTTCTTGCCAGGATAAAAGTAACGCTCAGGCGGCAGTCCTGTGGGACATTGTAGGTCCAGTACCAGCCACCAATGCATGAGGAACTGGTCCCAGAGTGCAAGTTTGCACTTCTGAGACCGTGCTTTCATGCTCATGTAGGACTCCCCAAGACACCGTGTGCTCAGACATACCCACCACGGTCATGGTGAGGGGATTTAGGAAATTTATTTAAAAATGAGGGGAAATTCGAGGCTGAAATGATAGCACAGCGGGCGTTTGCCTTGCACATGGCCCGACCTGGGTTCGATTCCCAGCATCCCATATGGTCCCCCGAGCACAGCCAGGAGTAATTCTTGAGTGCATGAACCAGGAGTAACCCCTGTGCATCGCTGGGTGTGACCCCCGAAAAATGGGAAATTCACATACCCTAAAGTTGACTATTTCAGCCATTTAAAAGTGTATTTAGATGGTTTTGACACTTATCACACTTTTTTTTTACTTGTTAAGTTTTAAATTTATTATACGCATGGCTTTGTTTAACATCAATGATTTCTTTTTTATTTTTATATTTCTTTTAAAATTTATTTTTTGTAATGGATCCCTGTGAGATGCAGTTACAAACTTAACAAACTTTCGTGGTTATGTTTCAGTCATACAATGCTCAGTACCCATCCCTCCACCAGTGCCCATTCTCCACCACCAGTGATCCCAGTGTGCCTCCCCCCACCCCCACCTCATCCCCTCCACCCCACCCCATTTCTGTGGTAGGGCATACCCTCTTGCTCTCTCTCACTCTCTCTCTCTCTTTCTCTCTCTCTCTCTCTCATTTTGGATGTTGTGATTAATTTTCACACTCTTTTGCAGTCACTGTCACTATCTGATGCTAGAGTATTACACCAGCTCCTGCAAAGACGCCTCTGCTAAACATTCCCCCTGATTCCATCTCCCCCAACCCCTAAAATCACAACTCTATTTTCTGTCTCTGGATATGCTCATTCTGGACATTTCAGAACAACGGAATTCTATAATATGAGGAAGTAGGTGTTTGTAAAAAGGAAATGGAGGGGCTGGAGAGAGAGTTCAGGGGTTAAGGAGTTGCGTGCAGTGACCCTGGTTCCACCCCTGACACCACATTGTCCTCCTAAAGCTTTGAGCATTGATCATAGCCCTGGAGGTTCCTGAGCACTGCTGGGGGGCACCACACCCAGATAAAAGGAAATAACATTGCTTATTGGTGAAAGTGATTAATTTTTAGAAATAATAAGGGAATTTACAATTTAAAAACTTTATGTGGGGGCTGGAGCAATAGCACAGGGGTAAGGTATTTGCCTTGCATACAGCTGACCTAGGTTCTATCCTTAGGATTCCCTGAGTGTTGCCAGGAATAAGTCTTAGCAGCATCTCTGGGTGTGTCCCCCCAAAACAAAAACAAATAAACAACAAACAGAAAAAAGAAAAAAAAGAAACAGTAGGGAGCTTCATGTAGACAGTGAGGGATACAAGAACAGACTCATCCAGAAGAGTCAGTCTGGGTAAGAGTCAGCCTGTCCTGATGGGGCTGCCTGAGCCAAGCAAGGTTGCAGGGTTGGTGTCTGGCCTTCTTTACAGGCTGTGTGTGTGTGTGTGTGTGTGTGTGTGTGTGTGTGTGTGTGTCGGGGGGGGGGGGTGTCTCAGAGAATCCATATGCATTTGCATTTTCTTGGTGGACGAGCGGCAGGGAATGTCAGAACTGGTGCCCACTTTTTCTTTCTGTCATTTGTAGGGGTGAAGAAGAGAACCAAAGTCATCAAGAACAGCGTGAACCCTGTGTGGAATGAGGTAAGCAGATGTCCCTGTCCTCCCTCTGTTCTCTCTGCGTCATGAAGGTGATGGGTTCCCAGTCTCAGGGGACACCAGCTGGACTCTCCTGGTGCTAGCGGAGGAAGGGGCTCGTGGCCTGGCTTGCTGGGGTAGGAGAGATGTCTCCCTAATGGTACGCAGCGTGTGGAAGTAGAGAGATGCTTTATCCTCTCCCAGGTAGAGCTGTCCAGGGGCTCTCTGGCCTACCTGGTTCACTCACACAGCTGTCCTCCCCACAGCCCTTTCTGGTCACCTAGGTTCTCCTCCGGCTCGGCTCTTCTTTTTCCTTTTGTTTTCGGCCACATCCGCTGTGCTCTGGGATTACTCCTGGCACTGCTTGGGGGGCCCAGGTTGACTGTGTGCAAGGAAAGAGCCCTGTGTACTGTACTCTTGATTTGGCATCTGCCCTCTTCTGGCTCCTGCTGGCCACTGGCCCCTCGATCAAAAGCTTTGTGGCTCCCTGACCTCACTTGGAAGTCACGGATGCCTGGAGGAGCTGCGGTCAGGAGGCACAGGGCCCCTTTGCTCTGAGGAGGGCCCTGAGGCCTCTGCATGGGTATAGCCAGCGTGGGCACTCCTGTGGGCCCACTAGAGCTCATGCCTCTGCACAAGCCCATGGATCTGCAGTCCCTGGCACAGTTTCCTGGTTGGGTAAACAGGGGCTCCTTTTCTCTTCTGCTGTGTCTCTGTATCTCTCTCTCTCTGCTGTTGTCATTTTTAAGGCTCTAAAGTCTTGCTCTTCATGCATTTGTTCATTCATGTATTCATTTACATGTTCATTCATTGACACATTCACTCATGTACTCATTTAATTCATTCACACACTGTTTCTTTCATAATATATATATATATATATATATATATTTGGTGTGTTGGGGCCTTTGGGCCACACCCGGTAGTGCTCAGGGGCTATTCCTGACTCTGTGCTCAGGAACTACTCTGAGTGGGGTTCACGGAATGATATGTGGTTCTGGGAATTGAACCTCGGTTGCCTGTGTGCAAGACAAGCTTCCTATCTCGAGACCCCATGTATTCATTTATCTACTCATTCATCCGCTCATCTACTAGCGCTCAGTGGCTTGTGAGGTCTGTGGTGACCCTGACACAGGGCTCAGGCTAAGATGTCTTTTCTTTCCTTGCAGGGCTTTGAGTGGGACCTCAAGGGCATCCCCCTGGACCACAGCTCAGAGCTTCATGTGGTGGTCAAGGACCATGAGACGATGGGGAGGAACAGGTGAGACACGATGAGGGACATGGTCCATAACCTGTAGGTGCCAGCAGGACAGTGGTGGATAGATTCCAGAACACGGGCCCCAGAGTGCTGGTGTTTGAACTCACATCTATCAGAGACCTACCTCTTGTGGGACTGGCCCAGGGGTCGAGGTTGGGGAGAGGCCTGCTGCAGCTTTGGGAAGGGAGCTCTGTCTCTTGGGCAGACCCAAGAGCCACCTGGGCTGCAGGGAAAGTGAAGGGCTGGAATCAGGTGTGCTCCTGTTGGCTTGTGTCCCAGGGAGCGGGAGAAAAGGCTCCTTGAGTCCTGGCCCGGCCCTCTCTCCTGCCCAGCCCAGGCTGCTGAGGGCAGCCGCACATGAAGGACGCAGGACACAGCAGGCAGAGTCTGCACAGGCCCAACGCTGCGCACAGAGGCTCTGTGCAGAGGTGAGACTGGAGGAGCAGGCGTGGTTTAGGAGTCAGGACTGCAGCGGCCGCTCTGGTGGTGCCTTATCTGCTGTGATGGCGCGCGTGCAGCAGGGAGGGAATTCTGGGCAAGGGCAGAGCAGACAAAGTCGTGGTGATGGAGAAGCGTCCCTGGGTGGGGACAAGGGCCCTGTGTCTCCTGGGCCCCCGGAGGGGGCAGACAGCACCCGCTGGGCTGTGGTCTGATGCCTGCCCATGGCCGCGGGGTTGGGCAGCCTATGGGAGCATATGGACTTGGGCACTCAGAAGTGACTGTGGGCTGATGCGGGGCAGCTGTGTGTGGTGTCCACGGCCAGAGGGTTCCTCCAGCTCTTGTGCTGACTCCTGGGGTCTGGGTCCCGGGAGCAACCCAGCCTTGCTGTCTGGTGAGCTGCTCACAGGGAGCCTTTGTCTGGGAACTGGGTCAGCTGCGACAGAGCCTGGTGGTGGAGTCTGGGCTGAGGAGGACAGAAGCGAGGAGGGAGGACTCGAGGCCCAGCAGACCGAGGAGGGGCTCAGGCTACTGGAAGCCTGGAAAGCTCGAAATCTTAGAAAGTTTGCCAGGGAAATGCGTGGCCCAGTCTTTTGGTGATTCTGTTGGTCACAGGTACAGGACACTGTATGTGTTTGTATGTGTGTGTGTACGTGTGTGTGTGGTGCATATGTGTGCATGCATGTGTGTGGAGCATGTGTGTGCATGCATCTGTGTTCTTATGTGAGCATGTGTGTATCTGTGTGCATATGTGTGTGCCTGTATGTATGTGCACGTGTGTGCTTGTGTGTGCTTATACATGTGTGTGCATGTGTATGTGCCTGTGTGCATGTGTATATGTGTGAATGTGTGTGTCCTTGTGTGTGTGTATGTGTGCATATATGTGTGTGTGTGTGTCTTCTTTTGCACACGAACTGCAGGTTGTGGGGACCCAGGTGTCTTGACTCTGTTTCACACAATTTGGGCCTCAGCAGTGTATACCTGTGCACGGGGATGGGGCTGGAATCAGTTCACACTGAGCTACCCTAATATTTTGTGCAAAACCGAAGAGGTGCTAGAAGGTAATTGCTGGTGGGTGATCAGCAGATCAGTGCGAAGGATGCTGGGTTAAACTTCATGGTCCTGGAAAGCTTCCTAGAGGAGGACCACTCAGGCTGACTGGGAGACAGGGGCAGGCTTTATGGAAGTTATTCTGGTGTTTGGGTGTGGAGGGAAACTGGGCTGATGCCGAAGGGCTAGAACTCAGAGGCGAGTCCTGTGTGCTCCAGTGAGAAGCGGGTGAGGGGTACAGTTGGGGAGGGGCTCCCAGACCAGGAAGAGGATGATAATAGTGAAACCATGCAGCTGACGTCTGCCTGGAGCTTTCCCAAAGTGGTGTGTGTGTGTGTGTGTGTGTGTGTGTGTGTGTGACACTCACAGACCCACACAGAGCCTGTCCCACTGCTTGGCTCCATGGCGTATATGTGGGTACCATGCTCCGATCATATATGTGATCCCTTGCAGACTGGAGCATAGTTGAGTGTCCCACGTCCTCATTACTCACAGGGAAACTGAGGCTCTGAGAGGTAGGTAAGCTCCTCCAAGGCTAGCAGTGGCCAAGATGTGATGGGAGGACAGGCCTGCAGGACACTCTGCATCACTGGGCCCCTGTGCAAGGGAAGCTCGAGGGTAGGTCCTGGGTCCTTCTGCAGTTCCCTTTCCTAATGTGGAAACAGTAGTTGAGCAGAGGCCTCTGCCGAGGAACGGGGATTCTGCTCTCAGCATTCTTACAGACCCTGGGGGAGGTATCGAGCCCCTGACAACAGCATGGTCTGAGTGCTCAGCACATATTTTGCATCTAGGGCTGGGCTGGTCCTCAGGGTGACTCGGACAGTGGTGTCCACGGGCTGTCCTGGTCTGGGGTCAGAGCTCACACAAGAAGACAGGCCGTGTTGCCTCCTGGGCTTCCAGGGTGTATCCCCTCTCTCCTTTGGAAATCCATACAGGGCGGTTCTCCTTCACATGACCAGTTCATGGCAGAGCCCGTGTGCTGGGCATCAGTTCCTCAAATGTCAAGTTGCCACAGAGCTGACTCACGCTTCCCAGTCTACCAGGAACTTTTCTTCTTATGATGACTTGCATGTCACTTGTGAGTTTTCCCAACATCCATCTCAATTTTGCATTTCTGTCCATTACAATGAAGGTCTAATTCAGCTAAATGCGAATTTATATTCATAAACATCAGAAGCGGCTCAGAGACCAGGAGCCAGACACGGCATTCTCAGGAGCTGGAGCGGGGGGGCCAGACTGTGGGGTCACCCCTCCTGTCCCTTCACTGCAGTTGCTTTTTTCTTTTTGTTGTATTTTTTTGGTTTATAAAACTATCAATAATGATTTCTTACGGACATAATTCCAACATCACACCCATCACCCTGTACCCATCTCCCTCTCTCAAGGAACCCAGGCTCCTCTCTTAAAACCGGACCCCAGCTCAGCCATGCCCATCAGTTCCCTCATTAGGTTGTTTCTGGATCTCTGTTGCTACCTCATTGTGTACCTTTATGCGCTGTATACGGAGCTCAGCTCGTTCTGTTCTGTGCCTTTCCTCTGCCTGACTCATGTCGTGTGATACCCTCATCATCATGGACAGGACTGGAGGACATCATTGCTGCTGTTTGCACTCTTTCTTGTGGCTGCTGTGTGTTGGGGTGCACACACCTGGATCCCTGTATTCACACCTGGTATGTGGGCAGTGCTGAGGATTGAGCTCACGGGGCCAGGCCACCAGGGTAGGTGCCACCCCACAGAGCTAGCTCCTTCCCCTCCCTTTTCCCTTCCCTTCCTTCCCGCTGTTAACGCAGTAGCAGTGATCATGGCACTCATGCACTTAGATGTGATGCTGGCGGGGGTTGTACATTAGACTGTGAGCAGTGATGGGCTGGGGGTGGTACATCAGACTTTGGGCAGCGCTGGCAGGGGTGGTACATCAGAGTGTGGGCAGTGGGATGGAGCAATAGCACGGCAGGTAGGGCGTTTGCCTTGCATGCGGTCGACCCGGGTTCGATTCCAAGCATCCCATATGGTCCCCCAAGCACTGCCAGGAGTAACCCCTGTGCATTGCCGGGTGTGATCCCCACTCGCCCCCCAAAAAAAGCAGAGTGTTGCCAGTGCTGGTGGGGATGGTACCTCAGACTGAGGGCAGTGCTGGCTGGGTGACACCTCTTAACTGTGGTTGCTTACTCTTTGGAAAGTACTCTCTGTGGGCCACATACCTTCAGTTGTGGTGCTCACACCTGTGCTCCCAGGGGTCACACCTTTTCTCATGGTCCCTGATCACAGCTGGCTGCCATATGGGGGATCTCAGGGCACAGAGCTGTGAGTGAGATTCAAACCACAGGTGGGGCCAGAGTGATTATGCAGGAGGTCAGACACTCAACTTGCACGGCCTGAGCTCAAGCCCCAGCACCCCCTAGAACCTGAGCCCTGCCAGGGGTAAGCTCTGAGCACAGAACCTGAGTAGCGCCTGATACCACCTGGTGTGATTCCCCACCCCCCTCCCCCAAACAAGCAAACAAAACAAACAGCCAGCCTTTTGGGGGCTCCCTTGGTACCTGTGGGACAGGGGGGTCAAACCCACAGCCACAGGCTTAGCCACCACGCTGTGAACAGTTTGGTCCTTGCTTTGCCTCTCTCCTTCGTCACTCCTCTGCTTATGTGCAGTGACCGTGTGTGTGTGTGTGTGTGTGTGTGTGTGTGTGTGTGTGTGTGTTATCAGGGATTGAATGCAGGATCTCACCCATGCCGGGTCAATGCTCTACTGCTTGGAGCTGTCTTCCACTTATTCTTTTTTTTTCCTCCTGCTTCCCCCCACCCCTTCATGCACCTCTTCCCCTTGACTTCTGGTGTCCTTGATGTTTTTGCGTCTGCTGTGAAGGGTCCACATCCACGTTTGGGGTGACATCCCAGACTGGTCTGCCAGCTGGAGTGGAAGCTTAGGAAGCCCCCGACCTCATCCCTCCAAGGAGGCTCCTCAGGCTGGGAGGTGCCTCTGGGCTGCTCTGCACCTCGTCCTCCCTGAGCCTGGGGACTCCCCAGCCACTGCGGGCTGGACCAGCTCTGTCTGCGAGTCAGGTTTGAGGCGCGCATGAAAGGAAGCGCGGGCGAGTCCAGCTGGCCACTGGACTCCGGTGCCGGCGCACTTGACAGTTTCCTGTTGATTTTGGGCTTCTCAGAGCTGCTGGCAGGAAGGGGCCCTCGTGTCAGAACAGCTTTGACCCCAGGGATATGGAGCCCCTCATACCTCATCAGGTGTTTGGCCCCCTGGGATGCTTGGCCCAGAGGTCCCTAGCCAGGTCACGTAGTGGTCAGCAGCAGCTTTTCCAGACCCAGGTGCTGGATGCCCCCAGAGGTTCGGGTCTCTTGGGCTGGGGTGGGGCTGGGCATCATGACAAGCTCGCAGCTGTCAGGCATGTGGATCGTGCAGTCTGGGCTGACAGCCACCGGCCCGACTTTAGCCAGGGAAGATGGAACTTTTTGAGTTGATGGGAAATATCCACCCTCCTCCCCCCCCCCGCCCCCCCACCTTG